AGTACCGCGTGAGTTTTAATTGCTAAATTAACTATGTAATTAATTTACGTCATCCAATGAATAATATACAATTAACATTATATTCGAATTAATAAAAATAGTTAATAATAATCCAAAAATGAGAGAAATTTCCTTATAAAGAACCGAGAAAATCGTGAGATGAAAAAATTAAGCCAGTTATTCTCTGATTACTCCGATTCATTAAGGAATAATTTTTACCGATATACTTGGAAAAATACTAAATGAACAGAATAATAATTAAAATAAGAGAATGATCACGATGTCCTTTTAGTGTAATCCAGAAATGGTAACGATTAACTATAATAATACCAATTGTTGAGATTCCTCCAATAATTTCAATCAATTCCAGAGTATATCACTAATTAGTAAAGAAACGATAATGTAGAAAATATAAAAATAACGTGCGACTTGCTTCGAATTAAAATATACAACTTACATTCTATCTATAAGTCCATTCTCATCCAAAGCATGTGGTAAATCTCTCTTATTCCCGAGCACTAAAACTGGTATTCCTGACAACTGTGGCTTGTCCAACAGATTGTGCAACTCATTGCGACTAGCTTCAATTTTCTCTGAATCAGCGGCATCCACCATGTAAACAATGGCATTGACACCTCTGCAATATCTCTCCCACATGGATCTGAATCTCGGCTGGCCACCAATATCCCAGACTTTGATAGTGACGTTTCCTTTCGTTATCTTACGCATATTGAAGCCTACTGTGGGAATCATATCCTCGCTGAACTGCCCAGACTGAAAAAAAAAATTAAAACAGACGATCAGAAGAATTAATCATCACGACTAATAATCGCCCTTATTGATACGCTCGAGGGAGACTTTGGGTTCTCTCATGAAGTGTAAAAAGTTAAACGTGAATTCTGTAACAAATTGTTAAACTAGGATAAGTGCACATTTTCTCGAGATGAGTTTTTTTCAAATATCTCGGGACTGAAGGCAGATACTAATATTTTCGTAAATGCATTTTATTTCGCTCTCACTTTTCTCTACAAAAAATGTATAATGAAAAATATCGCTATCTTCCTTCAATTCCGCGATATTCGGTAATAACTGGTCTTGAAAAAAAATGCAGTTATCCTAGATTACCACTTGATCAGAGAATTACTATACGACATTATTGTACTAACAGAAAATATTAAAACAAATGGTTGAAGGAAATGATGAACTCTAGAATAACTGGGTAAGTCATAAAATTACTCATAATTATAAATCATCTTCTGACGAATCGCCTGCTAACTGCAACTCCACGTTGCAGTGGAATATTTCAATGCTTCCCGCTGAAATCATCAACTGAAGACGTCACCCTTGTAAAAAGGCGAGAGTCTATGGAATAGTACTTTTTTTATTGTTTAATGTACTGAATGTATCATAAATTATTTATACTGTCGCTCTATGTACTGCCTAAATCAAATATTTTTGCTATTCCTTTTGTTAGAATATCAAGTTAAAATTCATAAAAATATATTGAACTGATTTTGCGATGATTACAAAAATGAATCGATATGGAGGGCTCCACGGAGTCGCCTCAGAGTTTGTATGAACATAAACAATGGTTTCACAAGAAACCATTGTAGGGTTCTTTCTTTGGTGACGAATGTTCTTATGATTTTTGTGGCTAATCTTTAGTCTCTTGGGGATATTGATAGAGTTCAGACGATATTCTTCCTCCTGCGATTTTAATAAAGAAATGGTGATTAGAATTTATTAACTGTGTTTTAATTAATTTAACTATCCTATTTCCAATAGTACGTCTTATGATTACCAGATTTATTATAAACAAACTTAGTTCTCTTTATTTAATGTGTTTTGTTAGGAACTTTGCGAGGGGAATGACGCAACATTCAGAAAATTCGAAATATAAGCTTAATAGGTCTCAAGTTTCTACAATCATTTGTGTGACGACGAGAGAATAAATTACAATAATGTGCAGTAATAAAGAATCAGTAATTAGTAAAGGTTTCCGAGCTGGAGTCAGTTTAAAATTGAAGCTGAATTTAATTACTTCGATATTTCATATTTTTTTAAAGATATTTGATTATAGAGTCTATGTTAACTTTAATCAAGGAATTTTCTAACTAATCAATTTTTTTTAGAACCCGTCGAAGTTTTGTATGACTGCAGAGATAATTGCACGTATTTTTCTCGGTAATTGGTTCTGGAGTGAAGCGGTAAATTAAATAATCAATGGCACTCAGACATTCAAGTTTCAGTGCCAAAATTAAAACCTGTAGTATTTTAATTAGCGACTGTCATTCACTTAGTTCTACTCCAAAGAGCAGTTTTTGCGAGATAATTTTTTTATTAGATTCTGATTCTATTTTATTAGATTCTGATTTTATTAGATTGTTAGAGAACGAAAAAATTAATCCTTGATTGCACGTTTGAATTCAAATGTGTTGTTTATTATTTAGGAATAAATTTATCTTTTTTATTTAGAAATAAATCTCGAAAGTTTCGTTACGACTATGAAAGAAGTAGTAAAACAAAAAATGATTAAAAAAATTTCGGGGACTCTTTCATCCTCGAGTTCATAAGGAACAGAAGGAAGTTTTGATAGTAAATGATTCTACAATTAATTGTTAGACCTTTCATTTGGATATTGACTTCTCCCACTGAAAAGGCGTCATTAACAGAATCAATAGTTGCGTTGATATCCTCTACTGAAATTTCAACTGTAAATCTATAAAATTTCCGATTTCTCCCCTGAAAATAATGTTCTGTTCCAGACAAGCAATAACTTCAATAGCGACTGCATTATTAAAATTAGTACCTAATTCCATCCAAAGTAATTAGAATCCTTTTACTCTCAAAATATAATTTTCTATTTTTCAAAATCCGTTTTAAGTTCCACATACGGCCGCCCACTCATTAAAAAAATACATTAATGAATCAATATTGAAAATGAAATTTTTCGTAATGATTAAGTCAATGAATTACTTTCAATTAATAATTAAATCAATTTACGGAATCATTTTTATTCCAAAGAATATTCTTTTTAAATATCGTTCGAAATTTCCTTCTAGAAGTGACACGTTGCAACTAAATTCTTTCCAAAAAATGAGGAGATCCTCTCATCGCAATGACATCTGGTTAAACAGAACATTGTCCAATCAAAAATAATTAAACAGGAAACCGTATAAATATTCTCTCGAGATATTACAAATTTCCTCATCCACAAAGAATTAATTCTGACATTTTATGCTAAACTCCCACTCCGGAAATAAATGCATAATTAACTGAAACGTCAAAAGTTCCGGATGACATTTCTCCGTCTTCCTCAAAAATCTGCGACAAATAAAATCCTCAGAACTGCAATTCAAAACACAAAATGACTTTCAGCAAGAAAATACTTTCCCCAAACAAGCAACACTTTTAACTCTCCCAAAATATTCTAAAAATCCGAAAAACTGTTCCAAAATGAAGTTGACGTGAAAAAAAAGGGGGGAAAAATGGAGAAAAAGGGAGTTTTCTTTTTTGACTGTAAAAATTCACACCCTCAAAACTTCCTCACGGAAAATTCCAAAGATCCACCCCTTTTCAAGAACCCTTGGAGTTATTTTACACACACTATGCGGTCTAACCCCAGAGACAGAAAACGATTTGAAATTTCTTCATAACTCCTGGGCCAACTCTCTAGCACTTGCAGCCTAGAATATTCAAATAGTACAATAAAAATGAATACGAATGAATAAAAACAGTGATCATACCGCAATGACATTAACGAAAGTGGTTTTTCCACTGTACTGTAGGCCGACGAGTGTTAACTCCATCTCCTCCTTCCAAAAAAGTGACTTGAACCAGTCAAGAATTCTGTTGATCAACGCCAACATATTGTCGCCTTCTCACAAGATTGCAAAAAAAAAAATAGTACAATCCCGCAACAGTATTAGCTGAAAAAATATAAATAATTGTATGATTGAAGAAAAAGCACCGGACTCGAAGTTTTTGACATGTAATCATCGACTAGGCACCAACCAAGTCTCTCCAAATTCACAGACACATGGAAACTAAACTTTTTTTTTCTCCACCTCCACTCACTTCTTGGAAATTATTATTATCAACAAATCACTTCAAAAATAACTCGATAAAACGACAACAAAAGCTCTTCATCCTCCGGCTTAAACAATTAACTCTTCTCTAATAATGATTCATAAGCAAGAAAAAAAAGACGAAGAAAAATTCCATTGGTTTATTTCTCGTGGTGAAGGTTGAATTTATTGTGGACAGATGGAGCCCCTTGGCTGATTGTGGGCGGTAGATAAAACAAAAATAAATAGATGATTGCCGGTTCCAGACGTTGCTAATGACCATTTCAATAAACTCATTAAATGATTATTTGCAATGAGGATGAATCGCAGTAATGAGAGGTGAATTCATAGTTAAGAGTATTTTTATTTTTGTTGTCAGGGATTATAGACAGGGATACCGAGTCTTTTGATTTTTTTTAACGATTTTTTAATTGATCATCTTTTAATTTTGTGTTTTAGTGAATCCACACAATGAAATACACAATAGAGCATGAGATTTTCTTTTTTTTTACAGTTTATCTCAAAGATTCTATTATTTTTATATTCTCCCGGTTGTGTCCAATAACTCGTATTCTTATCGCCCGATTTTTATTTATTAAGAGAAAAATTTGTTTATATTTTATGCTCTTAAGAGTATTCTCAGCATTTTTTAGGTTTATAAATAGTTGTAATAACAATTTTTTTTTAACTGAGAAAGTTTTATTGATTGGATACAAATAGATTGAAATCATCGGAGTAATCTGAATATTTTGTATTATTAAAGTTGATGGTCTTATTTTAATTATTTTTTATTTTAATCCAACAAGATCTTGACAATTCCATGAATTTTTTTATCGTCCACTCAATAAGCTTTTCTGTTATTTAAATTATTTTTTAATAAATCGCAGTAATAGAAAGAGAAATCTGAATCAGTGATTTTTCCTAGGACAATTGCTCTATTCTTCGAATTATTATTTATTCCGATGATTAATTGGAGTGTAATATATTTGAGTCGTGGTTTTTATAATTTATTTGATAATTTTTCTGAGTAAAATAAAATGCAAACCGTATATTGAGATTCGTGAAGGTAAAAGTCTTGATCAATCCCAATAAAAAATAATTGAAATTTCGGATTCTGCGAATACAATTCTTCCACTCAGTAGTAAAAATCATGAATATCATTATTAATCCTTAATTAGTCCATAAATATGGGTCTCAACTGCCCGTCATCCATCGCCCGAAATTACTCATCACAGGGAAATTTATAATCTATTATATAAATTGATATTTACTCGAAAAAGCCACAAAAATCAAAAATCCTTTTAATACTTCTTCTCTTCACCGCGGAAGTCGCTGTTCGTGAGCTGGAGAAAAAAAACCGAAAAAAAAATAAACGAGAAACAACCGGAAAAAAAATGACAACAGCGTCTTGGCCACCAGCGTCTGCCTCCTAGTGTAAAAATCCATCAAACCATTAACAACACAGTGTCGAGGCAATCCAGAGATCGACGAAAAAATCCAGAGTTTGAAGAAATAGTTGAACGTCCCAGTAAATCCGATGATGAAGTGACATCGACTAGTTTAACCTCTCCACCAAGATGTCCTACAACAAAAAGGTCTCGTACTTCTACAACCCTGACGTGGGCAATTTCCATTATGGTCCAGGTCATCCGATGAAGCCCCACAGACTTTCAGTGATTCATTCACTAGTTCTTAATTATGGGCTTCACAAAAAAATGCAGATTTACCGTCCATATCGTGCAAGTACCCACGACATGTGTAGATTTCATTCGGACGAATACGTGGATTTTCTCCAACGAGTCACACCCCAGAATCTCCAAGCTTACACCAAGTACTTGAGTCATTTCAACGTTGGAGATGATTGTCCAGTTTTCGAGGGACTTTTTGACTTCTGCTCGATGTACACTGGAGCATCTTTGGAAGGTGCTACTAAGCTCAATAATAATTGCTGTGATATCGCTGTCAACTGGAGTGGAGGACTGCATCATGCCAAGAAGTTCGAGGCCTCTGGCTTCTGCTACATCAATGATATCGTCATAGCTATTCTAGAGCTCTTGAAGTATCATGCCAGAGTCTTGTACATTGATATTGATGTTCATCATGGAGATGGGGTCCAGGAGGCGTTTTATTTGACTGACAGGGTCATGACTGTGTCTTTTCACAAGTATGGAAACTACTTTTTCCCTGGAACTGGGGATATGTATGAGATTGGAGCTGAGAGTGGCAGGTATTACTCTGTTAATGTGCCCTTGAAAGAGGGCATTGATGATGCGAGTTATGTACAGGTAAGTAATATTGTCGAGCATTATTAATAATGGGCATTAATTGGGGCAATATCTGAATATTTCGCTAAAAAGGAGCAGAACATTCTTAAAATATTCAACAAGAACAAAAGTTATTATAAAAGTTGAGGAAATATTCTGGTCTCTTAAGCTTATTTAATTTTATTGTAATTTTCCTAACATTATCAAATATTTCAGGTATTCAAGCCAGTGATTTCCCACGTGATGGAGTTTTTTCAGCCAACGGCAATAGTCCTGCAATGTGGGGCAGACTCCCTCGCGAATGATCGACTCGGTTGTTTCAGTCTGAGTACAAAAGGCCACGGAGAATGCGTAAAATTCGTTCGAGACCTGAACGTCCCGTTATTAACGGTTGGAGGAGGTGGATACACTCTGAGAAACGTTGCAAGATGCTGGACCTACGAGACATCTCTCCTCCTCGATGAACAAATCAGCAATGAACTTCCTTACACAGAATACCTAGAGTACTTTGCTCCTGACTTTACACTTCATCCTGAGGTCGTCACGAGGCAGGATAATGCCAACAGCAAACAATACCTTGAGGCTATCACGAGACATGTTTATGATAATCTCAAAATGGTCCAGCATTCTCCTTCTGTGCAGATGCAGGATGTACCTTGTGATGCACTACCACCTGAGGACGACAGGCAACCGGAACCTGATCCTGATTCCAGGCATAATACTCAGGATACTGATAAAATCATTGAGCCTGCTAATGAGTATTACGCGGGGGACAAGGATCAGGATAAAATGGATGTGTCTGAGTCGTGATTTTAACGGATTTTAGGGGCCTGGAGTCAGTTTCGTGGTTGCGTGGAGGAAAGAAATGAGTGGCACAGTTTTTTTTTGGCAGTTCAGTTTGAAAGAATGCAATAAGTCAATTTTATTCTAAGATTTGTTTCTTTTTTGGTAGATACATCTATCGACAACTAAAAAGAGAGAATTTTTAAAAAGTCCTTTTGCGAAAAAACACCTCACAAAAATTTCGATATGGCTGTTAGTTTTGGAGATACCTATCAATGTTTTTTGCAATTGACTTGTGCCATTTTATTCCTTCTTTTCTGGTCTATTGTTATTCGAAGAATTATTGGGTTCAGCGGAGATAATTGTTTACGAAAATTAATTTACGGAAAGCTTTACGGTTTTCTCTTATGACTTGCAAATTTTGATCATGTTCATTTTAATGACGTGCCAGCACAAACATTTTAGCCTTTTCCTTTTTATGGGACAATTGTTTACTCGGAATATCCTTCTGATTTTTTTTACATCTCTTCCTCCAATAATTGCAAGATAATCTACAATCAGTTCTTGACTCATCTCAGGTTATTTGCCAGTGAATTCTGTACATAATTTTCTACTTTTTATTTTGAGAATCTTTCATTCAATGTAAATAATATGAATTTTGAGAGATGTTTTATTGTAACTACAAATAAAATAATTGAGACGATTTTTAAAAAAAATGTGAGATAATTATCTGGCAAATCTATTAATTAATAAATATGGATTGATCCTCCAATCCAATTTCTGAACCACTTAATCAAAATTAGAAATCCCAGTTAATGATTAAAATTAAAAGTTGTAGAAAATCTCTGGTAATGTGAAAGTAACATCAAAACTTTTATAATTTTTTTAAAGTCATTTATAGTCAAGACAAAATTTATTGGACAGACCATTTTCTTTAAACTATCAAATCACTTCTTTAAGTTATCAAATTCTGTTTTCATATTCATATTTTTAATAATAAAAATACAATGATAATTTGTCTGCAGGAGTTGGGTAAGTAACAAAGGGTTATAATAACGATATAAGGTAAACTAACAATTCCATTGCAGCTCACATTTGTTTCGTTTATTCAATGAATATATTTTAATTCTGTATAATAAAATATAACGATCCAATTGGATCAATCGCGGGGGACATTATGGGCATAGAACAAGTCAATCAACGATAAATACTATATCACAGAGTTCTTAATCATCGAAGGATCGTGAACGATTTCACTTGAAATTAAAAAAAAATCATTCGTTTAAAAAAGACGTGAAAATAGTTTCAATCCAATAAGTAAACATCGAACTCATTTAAATCTTCATTTGTGGAGGATTATCCAATTAAAAATACTAGATGTGACTAAATAGAATAAATTAGGTGACTTAAGACTATCCAATTCCTATACAGTTTGTTCCATTTGTCTTCATCAATTATATGTTACGTACTACTTTTATAAGGGAGTGGCAACTATCAGATTAAATTAAAAATAATACGATAGGGGAATACTCATATTACACAATCAATCAATTTTTCCGAGGATTTAATATGCACTGAAATGGTCAAACGAAATTAAATAATGGATTTTAAAAAAATGCTAAAGATATCGTTCATTAAGAATTTCATCAGCTGCAAACAAGATCTGTCTATAATTTCCTTTGAAATCAATTAATTGAATAACAAATATTCCAAATTTAATACTCAATCGGAATTCATAATCAATTCTTATTTGTTGAATTATTTTGATAATAATATAAATAACAGGAAAATATTGAAAAAAATTTGGTGTTGCAACATTCCATTGCCAATTGAATAAGTAGATGATTTCCTTAAAACGACTTGTTTTTTAAATGATCCGATAATTAAAAGATTCAAAATGTCACTACTGTGTTTCACCACTTCAATTGAAGATATTTTTTCTCCATTCTCCCTGTTAACATTCAACGGAATAAACAATTACGTGGAGATATTTTTCTCAATAGTTTTTCTATCCATTTAAGTGGACGACAAAAATGCTCAAAATACACTTCATGTAGTCGGTGCTTTTATCAGTCTCATTTAGTTAAAAAGAAGTTAGTCATATTTCTTATGGCGCACGTCACATGCTCCTCAGTGTTTCATTATTTCCTGCCTTTTCTCATTCATTTTCCGTACCTTTGAATCGATTTTCAGAGTTTCGATTGACTAGATGCCATCTTTCACTCAAAATATTATTTAAATAAATCGCAAGTTTTTTTATTTTTTATTTTGATGCACGTTCATGTCTCAAAGTGCTTGTAGATGCTCGTTACGTAGGTCATCACTTGCTGCCAGTCGGGACGTTCTAGTTGACACATGTCTCCAATATTCTGCAACAATTTCAATAAAAATATTCATTCCGTTGTCCTTAATTGTTAAATTTGATCCGATAGCCTTTTACGATCGAAAATTGAATTCCAACGATACAATTAAAATACTCTCTAACATCTTCTGCTTTAGAATTATCCAATTAAATTGCGAAATAAAAATGCAAAAAGAAAAATCATATTCAACTTTAATCCTAATTTTTTAACATTTTGCCTCTAAAGAACGGAAAACATAGGCAGATTATTCTTTGAACATTGTTATATAAAAATATGATCGGATTTGCTGGAAGTGTTCCTGAGTTTTCAATAATGTTTTAATTTACCGTAAGAATTTAACTCCTTAATATGACGGAAATAATGTTTACTAGCATTTGACGCACTTTTTTGTTTACTCTTCTTTAATTAAATGTAATTGAACAAAAATTAATCTAGGATTACAAGTAAACCCTGGGTCTATCGCTCGCATGATATAAACTATTATTCTTGGTTCAGAAATGGAAATTAATAGATTGAATTGTCCAAATAAAATTCCCATTGCAAAATCTTCTCATATTTGATTCATTACGAGAATGAATTCAGTGGATGAACTTCGAAATTTGTTATAAAATAGTAATTATTTTGTTAACTCAATGTCAAAAAAACGGAAGGAATTTTTTGTCAAGAAAGAAATTCCGTGAAAAAAATTTAATTGACATTTTTCTCAAGTCTTGCTATGAAAAATTTGAGGAAAAAAAGGAATTAATATTGTAATCAAAGAATTTGAGCTGTACATAAAGCTTGATTAAATATTTACGCACCAGAGTAGTTTGGATTCCAACGCTCTCGGCTGCAGAAAATGCCAGTGAGAAATTCCTGCGCTTCTCAGATGGACTCAGTGAGTCATACGGTATTTTATCAGGTAAATAAGAGTGAAGAATAGCGCAGAGAGCTAGTCCATCGTTCCAGGAGCTACTGAAGTTGGTGATATCAATATTCCTGTAGCCAACAGTTTTATTCTGACACCATTTTAATAAAGCATTCCGCTTGGATCCTCCATTCTTTACGAGACCACACAGTGGATCTTTCCGTTCAGAGAGATCAGTCACACTGTTCCTTCGTACAAAGTCAATTGCCTTTGCATTCAAAGCTGCTGAGTCCAACAGTTCACCGGCACTCAGGCTCACTGGTCCTGATGATTTTTGTGATTCTGGGAAACAACAAATTACCATTCATTACTTAAGGTTGCTGTCGCTTGTCTCTCTAAAAAGGCTGGGATTAAAGCACAATCCTCTGAAAGTGCACAATTTCACTTGATTGATTGCATTGTGTATGCATAGCTGAAATATAACTATATATTTTCCGGTCTAACTATTCTTAATTATGGAAATTTATCAACTTTCTGTTGTTATTCCCCGAAAACAAAACGGCCGATCGATTTAATTTTTTTTTGTCTGTATTCAATGGTGCGACTTCTATAACAATTTTTATTTGGAAAAATATCCAGCCGTTGATTGAAAAAAAATAAAATGCGTAACGCTTCATTTAGACACGCGAACAGTTATTCAAATTTCAATAATTTCTATCTCAAGTTCTCGGACAATCTCAAATAGAAAGTGATCATTTTGCAACTTCATTTTTTAACTATTCACCATAACAATTTAAACAAAAAAAGTCTCAAGATTTTTATCATCTTTGCACTGAAATGATTTTCTTATGACTAAGGAAAATTGAAAATATTTTCAACCACAAAATGAAAACAAAAAGTCATACATTGTTTTTTGAATCTGTGATAAAATGTATTGGAATAATTACCATTTAGAGAAAAATCAATTCATTTTCTTCATAAAAGGCTTCATGAAATTTAAAACTATTAATTGAGGTATTGAAAGAATAAAAAAATATTTAAAAAATACAGAGTCTTTCTAAAATTCCCATAAAAGTTACAAAAATAATTTGTTCTATCGAATAAATTCTACACCAATCTCGAATGTATCTCTTTTCTCCACCACTCGACTACCAAATCCAATCAAAAAAACTTCAATGATGATCACAGTTCATTATTACCTGATAATGTCAGTTTCCTATTGCCAGTAGATTGTGTTTTATTATTATTCGTTGGGTTAGCAGCACAAATTAAATTATTAATCTGTTGTTGATCTCTTAGAGGTGCTTTTAACGATAAAATATCATTGGTCCCAATGGAATTCAACGACGAAGTGGAACTGCTTCGGCTACCAGGTCCTAGAACAGATTAAAAATCAAAATAGAAAACTTTGAAATTAATCTAAGAGAAAAAGTTTGAATCACTTGTCAATTTAAAGTAGATTTCAAGTAGAAAAGAAAAAGAATTATGTGAGTAACTGTGTAATAACATTTTCATCAAGTGGTAACTTCATTTTTTTAAAAATATGATAATCTAAGAATTTGGAAAAACCCACCAGCTTTGGCTTGTTTAGTGGCATTTTCAATACTCTCGATTAAACATTTAACTGAGAGCCTAGAATCCTGCCTCGAAATATTTGCCTTCCTCCTAGCAGCCATTTCCTGCTGAACACTTGTTAAAACACTCTGCTGGGTCTCTGTAGGTGCACTCACAGGTCTAGGAGGTGGGGGTGTGGGATTTTTCTGATTGGCTAAAACATTGAAAAAATTAAATGAAAAAATACGTCACAGAAAACTGAAGTAATAAAGAACAGAAGATAGTACCAATTTAAATCCGTAAATTGATGGAAAATTCATTTAATATTTGTGCGAAGAAACAAGAATTTGAATAGAATTTTTTTTTTTTTCTAGAAAATCCCAGTAATCTTCTGTTCATTATACTTCACCACTGGATTCTCCCCACAAATATTTCACAATTGGAGACACAAAATTATAATAGGAACAAAAATAAATAAACACAATTACCCAAGACAAAAAATTGACGTAATGAATGTAGACGTGGATAGAACAAAAATAAAAACCATAAAGCAAAAGTTGACAGACAAGAGACGAGTAACAAAAAAGCACACAACGGAAAAGGGCAAAAGGTCTTCAGATTTCCCGTAGGCGGACGAGTTGGCACATGAATCACTCCCTATAATTCCAATATTTCATATTCTCCAGACTCAATGGCAGAGATTAAATCGACAATTATGCAACATTTGGCCCCAACACATGAAGTTTCTGTAATTTATGAATTTTAAGCGTACAGACGGCGCACATAGTGAAACTCCACAATAAGTCCAGGTTTCATAGATATTTATCTGTCAATATCTCAAAAGGTTCATGGAGATATGTCGTCCCTTCGACTAAATGGCCATATCACTATTTTTTGTAGTTCACCAGGAAAATTCACTCAGTGGTATCTATTTTTTTTTGGAGGGAGAGGATCTCGATGTTTCAGATTATTCTACATCATCGAAAAATAACTTTCCGAGACTTTTTTTTAGGTTTCAATCTACGAATTTTCAACGAATTTCTTTCGAAAAATAGTGATACGACCTTTGGCCGAAAAACTAAAAAAATATGCTAACAAGATTTTATTCAATTATTAAACTCCAATATCACCTAAAATTATCGAGGCTGACGTCACAAATAATTGATTTTAATTTTGATAAAATTGATAAATTTACAATAATCAAAAAAAATGTGAAACTTCTCCTCATAAAATAAAAAAAATTTAATCTATTAGTCAACAAGTAATTTCGTGATAAAATGTGATAAGGCCCTTTTCCCAAGAAATCAAATTTCCCACGCGAAAATTTATTGATTTGTTCGTCAGAGATGCGCAAAAAGATTAGCGCACTCTTATCTCCTGGACTTATCTCAAGTTATCCACCATTTTCTCACCGATATTCATTTAAATTCTTGTTTTAATCTCGTACCTCCCATCGTTCTCTCAGGCCTCAACTCAACGTCCTCCAAAATAGACTCAAACTTTTCCCGCAACGATAAAGTTCTCCCCATAAAGTTATTTCTCACTCTTCGTTTTGATGCATCTGCCTGAAGTACTGAGTAGTCTCTATCTAAACATTTCGACGACGATACGATTGATTTATCGATATTCCCCCCCATGGATTCTTCAAAATGTACGAACTTCCTCGGTGAAGGGATTGGCCTGTTGCTATTTATTTTCAATTCTCTACCATTATTCATCGCACTGTTTATATTATTTCTCTTCAATCTCTGATTGAGCTCTTCAGACCGCTCCAAACCTATCATCGGTAAATCAAATGTGAAAACATCTGAATCATTCGATTCGGCACTCGAAACTTCAGCTCTCACATCCTGCGTCGATTTATCTGATTTCATCCACTCAGAACTCGATCCTCGTCTAAACTCATCCTTAATGGATGTGCAATACTTCTTACGTCTCAATTCATCATCAAGTTCTCCAACCTTAGAGGACTTTACGTCCCTCAAAGGTTCACTAATTGATCTCTGCAAGTTATTCGACTGATTAATAACTTTATCATTCAATCCTTCAATTCTTCTGGAATTATCCAACAATTTTAAATCATCGGACTTTCCATTCGATTCGATAAACCTCACGGTCTTCTTCGGTTTACTTTCCTTGATCTCAGGATAAACCTCATCCGATGATTCATCATCAATATTATCACAGGACAATCGAGGAACATAAAGTTTCGGAGCCATAATCAAATGTGGATTAGGATTAACTAATTCCGTTGTTATCGCATAATCCTTCACAACTCCGCTCTTATCGATAACGATTGGTTTAGCCTCCACAATCTTATCAATTTCCCTTTCCCCGATATTTTTCTGGGCTATCGATAAATCTTGTCGCAATGTTTGACTTACGTTAGTCTCACTCTGAGATTTTTTCTCGAGGCTCTGACGTAAAATTCTCGTCATCTCTGGATCCACTTGGAATCTCAGATCATCCATTGATCTACCGACATTTGACTCTTCCTTTTTTCGAGGAATAAGGAACTTCGAGTTGGATACGTGGAGCCAATAGGAGTTCTCGTCGATTCCCTGGATCCCCTGGATAGACTCAAGGGACAAGTTCTTCGTGTTTTTCATGTTTTTTGATCTTTCCAGGGGCTTTTTTGGGTTGAAATCGATGTGATTGTGCTTGGGAAGTGTTTTTGCGCTCAGAGATGAGTCTAGAAGGTTTGGATGAGAGAGATTTCGATAGATCGGGGAGTTCTCTTTGACTTCTTCCTGAGAGACTGATGCACTTCTTTCGTGATTCGGCGGTCTTGCGGATTTAGTTTCCAATAGTTTCATTTCTTCGACACTTCGTTTACGGAGAATTGTTCTTCCTCTTTGGAATATTACATTTTTTCGATCGTTTTTGAAGTCTGATGTGTCTGACAACTCTGTTTGTGCTTGTTTTTTTATGGACAAGTAAAGAAAATGTAGTGTAATTATTGTTCAGTGCATTCATGCAATTTGGTGGTTAAAGAGAGTCGCAGAATTCCGGGATTATTTAAATTATTAGTAATAGTAACTCTGTAAACTAACAGAAGTGCATTTTTCGATGCGAGATTTTAGCGAATATCGCGGAATTGACGGGAAATGGCAATATTTTTGATTGAATATTTTTTGTAGAGAAAGGTGAGCACTAAAAAAGGGGTCATTATCAAAATATCAATATGTTCCGTCAATCTCGAGATATTTGGGAAAAACTCATCTCGAGAAAGTGTGCACTTATTCTAGTTCAGTACTTGGTTATTAATTTTATGTGGATTTCAGGGAATTTTCCTCGCCTCTTTCAACCACAAAAGTGTAAGTATCGATTTTTAATTGATGTGATGAGTGTGAATTGAATTCGTGGATCATTTTGTAAATGTCTGAAGAAGAAACGGATTTTGAGGAATCGATGGAAGAGCTTTATGCTTTATATATGAAAGATCTTATAATTTTCATCATAAAATTGTTTAGAGAGTTATTGAAAACCAATTTGACAGCCAATCCGAATAATCGGATTTCTTTACGAGGGCTGATAGCTGAAAATTTTATCTAGTAAAAAAAGACCTCTCAATACTTTTTTATAGCATTCATTACCGAGATAATCATCCAATCGCCAAAGATTGCATCATCAAGGTACATTGATGTCAATCAAGAAGGCTATCTCGATCATGACTAATGAGTAACAATACGAAAATTTTCTGAGAAATCGTTGTACTCCAAAATATTATTATTTATAAGAACTTTTTCTTGAAATTGATAGGTCCTAGGCGTCTGTTAATCACCCAATTATTAAATATTCTGAGAGGATATCTGATAAATGAATGAAAAACATTTCAAGCCCATAAAATTCCAAGATATCTACAAAATAATCCTGGAAACTCTTAGATTGACTAAAAGTAAATCAATTCGATGAATACCTTTATTCAGTTTTTCCAGCTGTCCCTCCAGTGCCCTCAGTCTATCCCTCAATGTTTTATTTTCTAGGACAACTCTCTCCAGCTCGGACTGCGCCTCAGTCTTGAAGTCATTGGCAACTCTGACAGTCATCAACAAATCGTTTTGAAATTGCTCCCATTCTGCGCTCTCACTCTGCCTCAATTTTTTCTCATCGCTGAGGTTTCGCTCGAGCTCGTATTGTCGAAGTTGAGCTTCTCGTTCACGTCTCTGAGACTCACTCAGAGCAGCTTTCAGCTCACGCTTGTCCTCCAGGTGTCTCTGACACTGAGCTTGAAGCTCTGCAAGTGAATCACGTACTAGTTGCAGTTCAGTATTCACCGACAGTCTCTCGTCCTTCAATTGGCTCAAACGATATTCTAAATCGTCGATCGCGGATTTTGCGTTGTTTCTCGTTACCTGGAAATATCAGAAATTATAATCTTAATTTCAGATTTCAAGTGATACATGCAAAAAAAATAATAATTCCCTAAAATGATATGCAATATCATTGTCAAAATTAAAACCTAATCAGAACTGCCAGGGAGTGATTAAACGAGAGAAATAAGATTTTTAAAATACAAACAATCGTGAATAATTTTCTAGACTCCAAGAAAATATTTTTTTTTTTAGTATCCCTCACCTTATACTCTTCCTGCAGTTGTGAGTACTGATCTCTCAACCTATCATGATCGCAGTGACTTCTAGCCAATTGTTCCTGGAGTGCAGCAGCCTGTGTCTCCAGTGTATCCTTCTCCCTCCTGGCAGCATCAAGCAACTCATCAGCTTCACTCTTACTCTCTACCTGCCTACTCTGCTCAAGCTCTTCAATCTTAGCCCTGGCATTATCCAACAAGGTTGCCAACCTGCTGATCTCGATATTTCTGTTGGCACTCTCCTGCCTCGCCCCAACAAGCTCCACATCCAGTTGCTTCCTCTCAGCACTCCCAGCCTCCACAGCAACCTCCAGGTGGTGAACCCTTTTGGTTAAACGTTCAGCCTCTCCAGTGCTAGCTTCAGCCGATGAACGAAGAACCTTCAACTCACTGGAGAGTTCCTCCAACTTCTGGAGAAGAGATTCACGTTCCTCTTGGGCACTCTTCAGCAGATCTACGAGTTTTTGCTCCCTCTCTGTGTTGTAACCCTTTGAGGAGTCCTGGGGCTTCTCCTCCCTCAGTAACAGTCCCTGAAGTGTGTCAACCTTCGACCTGGAGTCCTCTAATTTTTCGGTCTGCCTGCAGAGTGACTCCAGAAGGACTCCCTTCTCCTCAGTTAATCTTTCATTGTCTGTCTGAAGCTCTGATAATTGAGCCTGGAGATCACTCAGCTCTTGAATCGTTGCCTGAAGCTCTTCGTTTGTGGAGTAATGTGTTTCCTCCATCTGGAGAATTCGGTCCTGCAGGCAAGCAACCGAGACCTCCGATACTGAACTCGATGATCGCTTGTCCCATTCTGGAGTTGCACATCTGGGATTATCTGTGGTGGGAGTTGCTGATGGATCATTGGGGGGCAGTGAGGACTCATCACGAGCTGCGTCTTGCAAGAGCTGGTGCTTCTCTGCATCGGACAGAGGCGAATGGGCCACATCTCGGAGACGAGCCCGGAGGATCTGATTGTCCTCCGTCAGCCTCTCAACTTCTAATGTGTGTTGCTCCTGGAAATACAAACAATTTCTGTTAATTAGGCACTCGAATATCTACGCTTTGCGAATTTGGAGAAATAAATCTTGAGAGTGGAGTCTATATTAATTTTTAAAAACTAGTTATTATTAACAAATTAACTGGGGACTATTCTGCCTACCCATCCATATTTCAGAAGTCTTGGTTTTTTCATATTGTTGGGAAAGACTTTTTTTAATGATTTTTGTTGCTCAACTTTTCGTTAATTATTAATGAATATGTTTAAGTTTATGACTTAATAATATCTGATTAATTCAGTTTCGAATAAATTAATCATTCTAGTCTGCAATTCTTTTTTGGAAAAATTATAAAAAGAGTTTAATTATGGGTAACGATAAAAAACAATTTTTCGCAGAATTTTGTGGAATGTAATGTTCTATGTACGTTATATTTTTTATATCAGAAAATTCTATTAAGTTTTTTTAGACATTTCACAGATTAAGAAAAATTCTCAGAATTTGTATTTTTTGGGAAGCAAAATTGCAGCAATGAAACAATTAAAATCCATAAACGTTGTGCTATATTTATTAAAAATCGGAAATATATTCCGTCAATTCATCACGAAGTGAATTCGCTTTTTTATTCTGATAATTCTCAAATAGTTCTATAAATTTCATGTATTCAATTTTTGCATTTATTATTTATATTGCATTTCTCTCTACTTTGCAGTCGATTGCACAAGAAAATAAAAAGAACATGTAAATAAGAGATAAAAATGATTATCTATATCATTGGCAATGTAGACATTTCAACAGAACTCGATATTAATATTTTTTGCAGTTTCTCACGTAAAATAATCAGCGAAAAAATATAACTCAATGATTTATTCTGCAAACCATAAATTGAATGGGCCTAGCAATAAACAAATAATTAATTGAAACAAGGAAAATTCGGAACTCTGTAATCAATCAAAGTATATTCATCAAATCAATTCACATTTACACAATTTTATATCAAACACGGAATTAATCCGATATTGAATAATTCAAGGAAAAAATGACAATAAATCTGTTCTCAAATGAATTTTTACCGAGATAAATGCGCACGCACTTAAATATCAAATTAAATATTATCAATATTCATGATATTTAGTCCTCAACTACTGAATTGAACAACTAATTCCATGATCACGTGTATTTCAACAAATGATGATTTGAGACGTTAAAATGGATTTAGCGATCATCCGCCTTTCACAAACTCTAAAAAACAAAATCTAAAATATCACCAAAAAAATCGAATACTAGTAACGGAAAATGCATTAGCAAGGATGTAAAAAATTCCCATCAATAATTAACGACAAAATTGGATAAAAAATAAATACCATCCCAGTAATGAAACAATCACATGACGAGTGGCAATTTCCAAATAGGTGTTCCGTTTTCCTCAATATTCAATTGCAATGCCACCAGCACACAATGTCAACCAGAATTACCCACAAATGGCCTAATGACCATCTTTAATCTAATAAATAAATAATCCCTGGTAATAACTCAAACTGTCACGATGTCAGGGTTATGTTTATGAACTTAAAACTAGCACCTGAGAATCAATTGTACATTTAACACTTGTATCACTCTATCCATCACACAAACCGATCGACAAACTCAGTGTTCAATTGGAGAAATAATCACTAGTAATGATGATAAATGACGTTTTTCATGTCTTCAATAATTCGGCACATGAACACGCTTTCTACGTAACATTCGACGCGGGGTTATACTTATTGTAAAAGGCGGAATTCAGAGGTTTGTATGTATGAGTGAGTTTACTCGATCGGTAAACAAACTTCAGAGACAACCGTTTTTTATTTATCACATCAATTTTTAATATACCATAAAATGTCTCCCTCATTCGACAATTATGCAATAAATAATGAAATTCAAAGTTACAAACAGCCAATGACAACGAAAAACTTTCATTTTTCGCATAAAAAATATATTGAACTTTTGAAAAAATAAGTGTTTTCTTCAGGGTTTTTTAAATAAAAAAAAAAAAAGTTCTCATCGTAATTCAAATTTTAGTCAATGAATCATTGGATTTTCGGACTTGTATGTTTTTCGTATGGATAAATATTTAGTATTTCATATGAGTATGTGAAATTAATCAGAAGTATTTGCGTTTTGTTGTGTGAGTGCGCGCACGTTTTGTATTTTTTTTTTCTTTTTTTCCCCTCTTTTTTTCTTTATTTGACTTTAGTTATTTGTGTATGTGCACGACTGGCAGCTGTCCCAACGGTTCAGCATCTGTCTCGGGGCTAAAACGTCCTGAGGAATGCGGAAAAAAAAAGATAGGTTTTGTTTTCCTGGAGAATCTGAGGATTCATTGAGTTTTAGAAAAAGGCGGGTAATCATGTCGTCTTCTGGTGATTTTCAAAAAATTCTTTGTGGTTTTTGGATTAATTGTCAATCGCGACGAGCCTCAAAGATAAATGCGACACACTGCGAGAAAAAATTGGAAAAATTTAGTGAACCTATTTTTTTGTCCCCAATAATGGTTGTTTTTATTAAGTTAGACTTAAAATAATAAAATATATTTTTAAAGTAAGTAACTTTAGTCAATTTAATCTTTTGGTAGATTCGCACCGATTTACTGTTTCTTAAGAAATAAATATGCTCTTAATTACATGTTATGTAAAATTAAGACAAAAAAGTGAATTATTTGATTCTATTATATAATTTTTGTGACCATTGAGAAGTTAACAACTATTTTTCTCATTTTAATATACCAAATAAATCATGAGTTGAGCCATTAGTTAAGATCTTCAGGCATATTTTAACGAATACTAATTTCAATTTTGAATTTTTGCAAACAGCTCTAATTGCAATTCAACTCCGAAATTGTAATTAGTATTTTTTTTAACAAATGTATTCAATACAATATTTAGCACTGGTAATCACATATGCGTTTGTGACGATTCATCAAATTCATTTGTTAGTTTCAAACCCTTTTTTTTATTTACTAAATTGTATTTCCTCTGCCCGAGACATTGTACTCTATTAAATTATCATCTTAATTTCACTAAAATACATGACTTCGTTAAAAATAAAAATATCGTGTTTCAAAATTCATCAGATGTGACATCCCTGCGGGTAATTTGATTGGAATCAAATATTTGGAGGGTGGGGCAATGCGGGGTGAGGAAGGATGACCCTTTGACGATAATTTTGTGGATTACGGGAGTTTGATTTTTATTCAGGGAGAAATTTTAATAATAATAACATTCTAACATTTTTAATAGTTTTGATTCCCAAACATGCAATAATTCTCTACTCTTTTACTTTTTATTTTTTATTTATTTTTTATTTATTTTTATTTTTATTTTTTTATTTTTTATAGACAAACTTTCAAGGTAAAAATTGCAGAATTCATCATAAAAAGTGGACGGGCTTGGTAAAAAGTATGTCTCCGCGTTTTTTATTCGACCTTTATTTTCACTTGCGTATTACCCAACTTTCACGTCATTTTGTTGAATTCTTTCGATCCGTGTAAGAGAATGAAAAATCAAAAAATAAAATAAACTAATAAAATAATAAAATAAAAATAAAAATGATATGATAGCATATATACCTTCACCAGAACTTTAGCTTGTGGAAAAATATCATTTAAATTGAGAATAACTGTACGAATAAATAGAAAATAGATGTCACTGAAATCTCTAATTCTTGAATATGAAGGTCATCTTTGTTTTATTCATTAAATGGCAATCAACAGAAGAAATAATGGGTCGTATGATTATGACACAGAAATAAATAAAATATTGAGAGATGAAATAATCAATCCATTTTTCATTGTATCAGAACACAAGAATTGGTAAATGAAATGAATTATAAACAATTGGGATTTTACAAACTAATTTCTTTTTCATTTTCCAAAATCCGACATCCGCCTACAAATTGACCTGTTGGCCCTATTTGGATAAATATACTAATTTCGGACATATTTCCGCAATTTTTTTTGGATCAGTTATTCTTGATTGTTCAAGGAAAATCGATCTAGATAATGAATGCTGACGGAAAAATTAATCAAAGAACATTTTGTGTTGGCAATTTCAAAGACTACAAGGAAAGTCTCACAAACGGATAAATAGTTATTATAGAATTGTTTAAAAAAATTCCTGCGAACGATCGTCTGTAATTATTGACAAGCAACAAACAAAAAAATCCGCCGCTGAAATATTTCATGGAATTCCAATCCCGTATTCCCGTTATTGATTTCAAATACCAGATTTATAAATTCCGTCTATTGTTATTTTCGAGGAAGATAAACGCATCTTTCCCAGGAAAAAAAATGCTGCAATTTATTATTCATCGAAGGACACATACTTCCTTCTCCGAAATAGATTTCGTCATTTGTATCGATTACTAACGTTTATTGTAGTACTTAAAAGTATTAAAAATTTGAGGGTTCATGTGTTTGATTGACGCATGACAATTTAGTAATTAAACAATCGTCGGTCTCAATTAAGACATCAACAGAGTAATTGTTAATGTTGCGAAGATTTTGATAATTATTTTATAAATTAAAGGGATTAGCAATTCGAGGGCGCATTTGGTTGGTTGACGAAACATAATTTAGCAATTGAGAAATGGTCAATAACTGTTAGAATATCAAGTTAAAATTTATATAAATCATATTGAACTGATTTATGATGATTACAAAAATGAATCAAATGGAGGGCTCCACGGAGTCGCCTCAGAGTTTGTATAAACATAAACAATGATTTCACAACAAACCATTGTAGGGTTCTTTCTTTGGCGACAAATATTCTTATGGTCTTTGTGGCTAGTCTTTAGTCTCTTGGAGATATTGATAGAGTTCAGACGATATTCTTCCTCATGCGATTTTAATAAAGAAATAGTGATTAGATTTTATTAACTGTGTTTTAATTAATTTAACTATCCCATTTCCAATAGCAACCATTGAAATATTAATTTAACAGAGTAATTGTTAATTTTGCTAAGGTTTTCATAATTATTCGAGTGAATGACAGAGGAAGTGGGTCAAATAGTAGGCGTCGAGTTGAGGTCATGAGGAATTGAGAATGGCAGTAAAGATTAATCGCCGTGGGACTCTGAAATATCAGAAAACTTCCATTTCCGTTTCTTTCAATTCGATAAATGACAGAGAAAAAGAGCCTCTCCAGAAAGCTGGGAGGAACTGGCTTCAGTCCTTATCAGAAATGACAGCATCGACCCTTTTAACTCGATTATTCTTCCTCTCTCATTCCCACGAAAAATAGATTATCGCAGTGAACTAGCAGATGAATCAAATTAAATTCGCGATACACTATACTGTGAAAAATGTTTTTTCACAAATACCATTTAAATTGTATAAAGAAACGCATGAGTTGACAATTGCAAAGAAGAGGAAAATTTCCCCTTTTTTTTTCGCATCCCCATGCCGGGAAAAATGGACTAATATTTTTTTGCTTTTAAGGTTGTTGCCGCGTGACAGTCCCTGTGAAAAGTTTATGCGGTGTAAAACGGCGGAGATTAAAGCGCAATCTTTTGACAGTAAATTTTTTCATTTCATTGACTGATTGTGTATAGACTCTAATATAATTACATTATATATATTCTATATCCTAATTATTTTTAATTATATTTATTTATCAATTCTCTGTAATTATTCTTCGAGAACAAAAGCGTCAATCGATTAAATTTTTTATAAAAAAAATTTGTATTTAAAAAACTATCTAGTCGTTGATTAACAAAAAATTCTCCATGTGGTCATTTTGCAGCTACTTTTTTAATTATTAACAATAAAAATTGAAACAAAAACTGCCGAGTAAATATTTTACACGATAACAACATCAACGAAAATATTAAATAAATTAAGTATTTAGTGATTAATCCGTTCATGAACTGCTCAATGGGATTCTCAAAAAATTAAAAAAAGGTAAATCATTAAAAAAATCGTAAATAGTAATGTCTATTATCGAATGAACTTGAAATTGTAATTGTCGACTGAATTGATTACGTAATTAAATAATGAAAAAAATTATTTTTTTTGAAACCATCAATTTGATATTTAATCTAATAATAACTAAATGATTTTCAACAATCCGATTATCATTTTAGAGAGATAATCTGCCATCCGAGAAAGATATTTCACAATTTTAATTGCTACTACAGTTTAAATGAAATAATGTCCACATTACACATTAATAATTATAAAAATAATATTCAAAAATAAATTTCAATCAAAAACCTACAGTGAACATTTTTTCATTGTAGAGCATTTTGCAAATATCTTAAAGTGATTTTAAAGGAAAAAAACGATGAATTTAACGGAGTAAAATTATATTCAGGAAGAATATTTAGGAGAATCAAGTGAATGAAGCCCGCAGGTATGCTATCAGATATCCATGAATTTGCAAAATGATGCAGACTCAGAAACGCCTCAACGATAATCGAACGTTAACCATAAATTGAAATGAATTTTATACTAAATTTAGTCTGATGTTAACAGGAAAACCGGCTTACGCCAATAAGAGAACTCGTCTCGTTTATTACATTCCTGAGTTTACTACTCAATAATCTGACTATCAGAGTATATTTTCATCACAATTGATCACATTTACATAATGATCAATATCATGGAATGACATTAATATGAGAATAGTCCATACGAATTATTCACTTTTCCCAAAAAAAAATACTGGAGCGAGCACTCAGACAATTCTCAATTAATTACTATGAAGCGTGCACTGAGAAAAATTTAGTAATTTAGTAAAAAATGTACTAAACCTATCCATTTGCGAGCAACAATGATCGTTTATATTAAATAAGATTTAAGGCCCTTTTGTTCAATTTTTATTTTTTTAGCCTGAAATACATTAAAATTTGGGATCAAATTTGTGTTGCGGGAGCTACGCGAATGGTTATAAAAAAATAATGAAAAAAAAGAGGAAAAATTATTGAAGGGCTCTAAAGAGCGATATTGTTCAAAAGGGTTCTACCAAGTTTACAAATAAATAATAAAAATTACGCAGCTTACCAAAATAAAATAATGGAGCGAGCACTCAGACAATTCTCAATTAATTACTGTGATTGCTCTTCAGAAAATTGAGTGACAGCTAGATGCAATAGTAAGCTACGTATTTTTTATTATTTTTCAGCAATCTTGGTAAATCCCTTTTAAATAATATCGATCTTTAGCGCCCTTCAATAATTTTTCCTCTTTTTTTTTTCATTATTTTTTCATGTCCATTCAAGTGCTTCCCGCAACACAAAATTGATCCCAAATTTTAATGTATTCTAGGCTAAAAAGATAAAATTTAAACAAAAGTCGACGATAGATAGTCCTCCCGGGCCTTAAAGCACTAAAAAATATTTTTCAAGCAAGTAATTTCAAATAAATTTTTAATACTAATTTAAAATTTGAATTTCTGCAAATCACCAAAGTTACAATTGAACTTCAAAATTTTAATTAGTTGGTTTAAACAAATTTACTCAATTCTATTTTTCAATTCAATAGTCTCAAAAGATTTTTTCTTCATTTGGGTAATGGAATAATATCAAATTTGATGACGTACGTAATTACTTTGACCCCCTTTTTTATTGTTTTTCTCTCATTGTTAATTCATTCTAGAAGCCGGAGTTTGTTGGAAACAGCAAGACACCTATAACTGTCGGGAAAAAGAAAGTTCTTTCAATCAAAGGACTTTATTTTCCTCCAAGTATTTTTAAATATGTTTCACCATAAACTTTTTCCCATTAATAAACCATCTTTCCTAATTCTTTCATATGACTTAGATAAAAAATGGGGTTTGGAGTTTATTTGACCGTTAAACAATTACCGGAATTGCCAGTTATTTTCCTCGAAAAAGTTTTCCCTTGATTATTTCCCCTGTCTGAATTTGGATCAATAAAAACAACGCATTTGATCTAATTTCAGGGAAGTGGTTCAGTGTTTTTATTTTTTCGTGTTTTTTTCGGATATTCCCCTGGTAGTTGCTAAGTAATGAATTTATTTGGTGAACAATTAAAATGGCATGATGAAAATCAACCGAATCTGAAAAATGAATCGATTTGGGGAGAATTTTTTACAAACTATTGAATAACAAATCGGCAAAAATGTTCCTCAAATAAATTGAGTTGTTTCCCGAATAGATTAAATGCGCCGTTTTGATTAGTTGAAATTCTGAGAGGGAAATAATTTAAAAATCCCTTTCAAGCTTGGAAATTAATCGGAAATTTCCCTCTAGGTTCCGTGTAAACACACGAGCTTCTCAACTTTTCCAGAAAACTCAACACGATCATTTGTTTGCTATAAACCAATCGGAAAATATCGGGAAATATCCGATAAATTAAAAACTCTCGTGGTACCACAACTGAATATTCAAAAAACAAGAAGAAGTGGGCCCTTTTAATTTAGTTGTCAAAAATAAAACTAATTAATTTCCAATTGAGACAATAAGATTCGTCCCGTCTCATTTGACACAGAAAGACTTTTAGTCAAGTCTAAGAAAATAAAGATAAAGATAATGTTTATGAAAATGTTTAAGATAATCATTGAGAAAAATGGGAATATCTCAGAAATTAGGATCGACGACCTCCATATGCACCGCATATTTTAATGTGAAGATGTAAAAACCAGAATAATTACCTTAACAAATGCAAGCTCGATCTTAAGTTCATGAAATAATTTAGCGTCATGTGTAGATTCTCTAAGACCTGCCTCAAGTCTGGCTCTCTCCTGTCGTAAGAGCTCGAGCTCACGCTCGAGCTCCTGCATCCTGTTGCTATTTTTTCCAGTACTTTTACCGTGTACCTTGGTACCCTTGACACTGTCCTTAACTTGCCAGTTAACGTTCTGTATATTATCGTTTTTTCCCTCAAGTGACGATACACTTGGTGCTTGTCTGGGATGCAAAGACTGAGCAACTTGTGGCTGCTGTTGCAATTGGGCTTGCTGTGGAGGTGAAGAATTCCCCGTTTGCTGTTGCTGATGGGGCAAATGGCTTTGCTGTCCTCTTCGAAACAGCGATTTGAACTTCATCATGGTCACTCGTCTACTCTAATTAACTCAATGCCCTTTTTTTTTTGTTTATCCTCTATTAGCAATCACTTCTACGAAGCTGAATCATTCACTTCACGTTCCTATTCATCAATCAATTGCTAAATATATCACTTCTATTTATTATTCTATTGTTGCTTCATTCAGCTGTGCAACTTGTTTCACTTCTTCAATGGAGAAAATCATCAGATCTTTTTTTTTCATTCAGTCAAATCGACTGGATTGTACTTGACAATTTTAATGCTCACAATCGCAGGGAAAAAAGACTTCTGATTACACCTACGTACTCGTCACAACGGAACGAACTCTTATCATTATTTTTCCAAGGAGATAACGATGAATCGAACGAACCGAACAATTTCCGAGGTGCTACGTATCATTTTTTTTTTTAACACTCGATTTGGTTTTGAGGTTTAAATAGAATTTCGAATACATGCATCGGCGGATTTGTCACGGATATCTGATTGCAGTTTTCTTTTGTATTAAATTATTTTTTTGTCCTCAATATTTTGAATATTTCATTCAATAATCATTACTGTCGCTATTTTATCAGCTGTAATTTTCCACGCGTTTTCTATTTTCTCGCTCGGTTCGATTTTAGATTTTTATTCTATATTTTAGTTTGTGTTATTTATATCTATATTTTTTGGAAAAGTTTAGACTGCAAGTGGAACGAATTATTATTGTATTTTTTGAATTGTCAAAATACCGAAATCTGGGGATTTCCAGAATATTTTATTGGAAATTAGTGAAAAATTAATTGGCGATTAAATAACACGAACCAGCGCGTTTGATCTCGTGGCTGTCCACAACTTGTTGCACCAAAAAATAAGAATATAATGTCACACACACCATCACTACCAAAAAAACTTGACTTTTGCCTTCACGTTCACGATACTGGAGAAAAACCAGTATTAAACAAATCACCGGAGTGCAATAATTAGTCCTCCATGAAGATAATGAAGAAACAACTAGAGTTTGATTTTCCCCACCGCCGGGTGATTCTCCTCCACTCTCGAAGCATCGCGGGATTAAAAAAAAATGCACGAAATGTCGATTTTAAAAAAATATATAACCAAATAAAATTGGTATTTTATACTCGTACGGTACTTCTGGTGCATCCAAGTCGGCCAGGTTTTGAGAACAGATTGGGTGGGGATGAATCGTAAGAGGTCGTTCACGGCAATGAAACAACTTGCAATGAAACAAGTAACGTAGCAACTACATAACCAAGGTGTTGAATAAACTCATTCATTTTTCCATAAATAACTGACTAAAAAAAACGGACAAACATGGAATACACCGCACACCGCGACAACCGATCCCGACTGTTCAACACAATTTTCACGCAATTGTTCACTCCTTCGCGATTTTTGAGAAACGATAAATTATTGTTGAATTTTCCTCAAGGTTACACTTTTGTTTAAGTTTTACCGTTTTTTTTTCAGATTATTTTACAGATATTTAATGGATGAAATGAGAAGTTGTGGTGAATGGTGGAGAGTAATTGAATGCGGAGTGTTCGGAACGGGGACTGCCGATGGGACTGAGAATTTTCTCGTTTGCTCGACCAGCTAGCACAACTGGTGTGTTTGTGTCTCTTACAGGGATCTCGTCTCTTTGTTATTTTATCGGGAGAGAGAAAGAGAGACTGTGGATTGACCGGGAGATTGGAGAGGGAGTGGGAGAGAGTTGAGAGACCAACTGCCAACAGAGGGCCAGTATATATGTAATATGTACCAACGGGCCCACATCGATATTGCCACTCACCGTTTGCATGTGTTAAATGTGTACTATGTCTCTTACACCAATTTAAGGATCCTTCGGTCATTCCGAAATTTTACACTCTTGGACAATTCTATGGTGAAGTTGTTAGATTTTTGGGGATTTCTTCAAGTACTAAATTCACTTTTTCTATCCTAGGTTTTATTTTTGCTTCTGGAAAGGGGACTTATCGTTTTATTGCAGTAGCTGGGGAATACGAAAAGGGGATGTCCACGAATCTTGTATTTTAGGGACGCAATGTTTTGCGGAAAAGGAAAAACTTCAGGGGTGGAAATATTGCTGAGCTCAAAGGTTATAAAATAAGGACCAAGGAGGTGAGTTAATTAGTCTCTCGTGAGTATCTAAAGAGCAACAGGACCTCTTGGCTAGAGCAGAGTCAGAAATTGTTCCTGAAGAATAACTGGTACAAGTGAAAATACAAATCGATGTGTTCATTATTTTTAATTCCGTAATCAGAGAGAAGTAAAGCAGGATAAGTGCGTTTCGTTTAAAGGTTATTTTTAGTCAACATCTCGAGATTGAAAGACAACAGATAACAAAGGGTTAAGGATTTTTTCATGCTTGCCTTTTTTGTGGCTCTCATCCTTCTGTATAACAAATGTTTGGATGGAAAATTCGCCATGTTCCGTCAATTCCGAGAGCTTGGCTAAAATCTGGCCTCGAAAATATACACTTATCTTGGTTTACCACTTCACAACGGAATTGCACTTGAAATTTTAAAGATAAAGAACGTTTTAACAACGATAAGGTGACGGGAAATTTCGGCAGAATCCTTCTTTGATGAATCAGTTGATATTTTTAGGCCATTCTGGTGATTCCCAATTTTTGCAGTTTTAAATCATTGAAAAATTGAAAATTACAAAAATTCAAGCAATAATTTTCAAGAATTTACGTCTTATTGACAATTCAAACGGATTTGATATTGAGTTTTCAAAGTCAGTATAAAAATTCAAGCTTTTAATTAAAAAATCAATTATATCTTTTAACATGAAAAATCAAGTTTTCTTGAATTCTCTAGACTAATCAGATTTAATCAAGTTTAATGGCCGCTCTTTATTGTAATTGACTGAAATTTCAAGAAGTTTTCTATGAGAACCAATTGTCAATATTCACCAATCATAATGAGGGACTTCTTATCCTTGTCCTTATTTCCTTATTTCCTTATTCTGAAAGTAGAAAGACAAAAACGAAGTTCGCCCGAGTCGAAATATCTCGAAACGCGTAGGACTAATTCCTCATTGGTCAACTCCAACCGCCAAATTCAAATTCGGCGCACGGCGTGCGCAGTAGGTCTCGTCTAGTCTTATAAGGAATTGTCATATTTGGTACGACGGAAAAAATTAAAGAATGTCACTTCGACAATCTTGGAGCACTCAAGAATTTTCCACTAACGGTTTTTGTTAATAGATTTTAATTTTATGATCGAGGGGCGTCAAGGAAGGAATTCAACAGAAAAACCTATTCTACTCTTTTGAATATAAGTACGTAATTCTCTGGGTGCTCTGCTACGTCTGCTACAGGAATTTTTCGATGATACATCAAGGTCTGGGTCATTCAAAAATCTTAAACTAACGGTTAACGTCAATCCATGAACCGATGATAGATGATGACTGATTATTGTCATGTACTTATGAGGCAAGGCGCACAGAACAATTTATTATAAAAATCTAGCGAATTCATAAAAGTATGAATAGATATATTATTTCGAGAGGAGACTCTTTGATGGAGGAATTAAAAAGTTTCATGTGGAGGTACGGGTCGTTCCCGAATAATTAACCAACGGTTGATGGTAATCCTTTCAGGAATGATGATAGATTCGTAGTTGAGGGGTACCACCTATTAAAAATAGAAAAATCGGTAGAAAAGTATAGCGAATTTATTGGAAGAGAGATACTTAATCCTCAGAATACTTTGTTCGCTATAATACTGAGGATTTTATGTAAGTTTTTAAATGATTCTAAAATTTTTAATTAACCGGTCATAATGATAGATTCATAAAAAGAATTTATTAAAATCATCATGCACGATAAATTAAAAAATTCTGTTGGATTTATATTCTGTTGGAAATATTCAATTGAAAATATAAATCAATCCGGATATTTCAATATAATTTATTTTTCTGGTACTTTCTCTATCGAATTTTCACATTTTAAATTCTGCAAGTTTTTTCTTCCCATTTTTCTTTTCTTCTCGGCAAGATTAAACAAAAAACTTGAACTAAATTCTATAGAAAATATTTGAAAAAAGTAAGTTATGTAGAACAATTAATATTTCATGTCATCGCGGTCGGTAAAACGCGTTTCTAATCTCGCTTCGCTCGTATAAAAACGCGTTTTCGGCCACAATGACATAAAATAGCATCATAGCCACGGCGGAAAAAGTGATTCTGACTCATGCGCGTTATAATCCTCGTCTCCGACTCGGACTATAAAATCGCATTCGTCAGGTTCCCTTTTTCCGTCCTAGGCGTGAAATATACTATATCGATTTTTTCTATTAAATAGCTTCTAGTGAGTATTCCAATAAAACTATCCAAGAATTAATAGAAAGTTTGATAGTCACCGATCAGAATTTTTGAATGAATTCATTAGATTGATCTCTTGATTTTTTTGTAAAACGACAAGACGCCAGTTTTTCATGGATAATATATTCTTTTCATTTCATCAAGCATTCCAGACATTTAAATTCTAAATTCGTTGACTAAAATACGAGAGATAAAAATTCTCTGTAGACATTTCCGTATCTTAATTCAATCTGACGATATTCATCAGAAATTGGATTCATTGTTAATTAGAGATATCGTAGTTTATCATTCTGCTACTGAAGTTTTAATCGATTCTTTTCATCATCGCCATTCCATTTTCCAGAAATAAGCTCCACGAATTTTTTTATATTCTAGATTTTCCTTTACTCAAGAATTTCACTAAAAAAAATCACTTACTCCTTTTTAATCGAGAATTAATTACTGTTATTTAATATTCTCAATTATTGTACGTCACAAGAAAAATTTTAAAAAAGTAAATAATTAAAAAAAAATAACAATAATGCATATCCTCGGATGTGCTTACATTTAAAACATAATTAAACAATGAAAAACACGATTTTTTTTAAGCATCAATTTGATATTAAATCTGACAATAATTAGATGATTTTCAACAAAATGCTTTTCATTTTAGATAATCATTCTGTAATCTGCGAAGGAAATGCGTCATTCTTAATTACTACTGCACCAATTAAAAAAAAAACTCGTGGGTATTACCCCAAACACCCCAATACGTTAATGCAAATTAATTATTAGCAAAAATAACAATACCATATATAATAAAAGAGGAATTCACTCGTTAGTATCATTCTTGCCATCACTATAATTTTTTTTCTTTCCAACAGTGACTCATTCCCATGTGTTACGAGCTGTTAGTATATTATTTGTTATTATTTGTTATTTGTTGGTTGGTTAATTCATGGTTGAGGCCCCATTTGCGTTCCAGAAAATGGTTGTAAGTGTCCTTGAAATTATGCGGAAATCGACAAGAGGGGAACATACATTTTCTCCACGCAATCGAGCTGTACTTGCTCAAGGTTTTCTGCATATATATATTTTTTTTTGCTCGAGTTTGATTTGGTTGTACATGCACTTTTATTTCACTCGTAGGAATATGAGTGGACTTCATACATCAATGGGTACAGTAATATCTTGGGCATGTGTCAGGTAATGTTAATGGAGTTTTCATTCTTCACTGGACAGGAGTTGAGCCATTAAATATTGATGGTGAATGGTCTCGAAGATGATGAGAAACGATGGACCGAGTTAACGGTACGGGCGTTATTTTAGCTATTAACCCGGGGTTAAATTATAATCGCGGGAGAACCAATGAATATAAGAGTTATATTATGCAATTCTGTCCATTCACAAAAAAAGATGTCATTGATTGTTTTTTTATTCATAAAAATGTGGGAGTATACATGGAATTTGATTTCATCATTACAGTGGAATAGTATATTTCGTTACAAGTGCGGGAAAGGAATTTTTCACGTGTAGGAGGTTTTTCGAGTAACTCGTATAATTCCAAAGTATAAAGCCAAAAATTACTCTTCGCACGAATTGTAGACTGGATTTTTCAACGCAATGTGCAGAAAAGTGAGTTTTTACTTTTAGGCACGACGTGATGGAAATAAAATTATTTAAGCAGTAGTGATCTATATTTTCTCACTTCTTGTTTTTTTGAAAATTTTTGACGTGAAAAAATCGACTGTTTTTAGGTTTCATTATTGTTTAATGAAGCGGAAATTTTTATAATCGTGAGCGTATTTTTCATATTTTTGGTTAAGCTTTGTGGATTTTCTCAAAATTTTACAAAAAAGAGAGAGTAACATACGAGAATATTTTTTGGATGAGGCATTTGACTCTGCGGAGGAGGTCATTATAACAGGCTGTCTGTCTCTGAATTAAGGTTGAATGCGAGAGGCTATTCACTCCATAATTGAGTGATAATCTCGAAATGAAGTCCGTGTGACGTAATTTCAGGGTTGATTTTAGTGATTTAGAACGAAAAGATAAAATAAAATTATTCAAGTGACAAGATTCGCTTCATAAATTAAAAATCAATCATCCCAGAAGAAAAATTTTCAGTAAAAATTACCTAACCGTTTGATAATCACGTGTTATAATTATTATTATTTTATTTAGTACCTGTTTTTATTTTATTCTATTATTATTTTATTTAGTAGCTGTTACCAAACTTTTGGACAATACTTCTCCAGGCCAGAT